AGGGAGGGGTGGGTGGGGGGGTAAATTACCCTATTTCTTTGATCAAGCTGGTTGGCCTGGTTGTTGACATCGTTGAAGACGATGGCGATAAGCTCTTCCTTACCATCGTTGAAGCACCAGTGGACTGCACCGGCCGGAATGGCCAAGATGTCTCCTCGGCGAATGCGGTGCACCTTCTGGTGCTGATCTCTTCCTCTTCTCCCTTCTCTTTGTCGCTCTTCTTCTTGGCCCTCCTCTCGGGTCCTCTCAGATTGCTGTGAATGGTATGTCTCTGCACATCCTGGGAACGTTATCCCCAGCAAGCCCTCACCTGCATTTTGTTTCCAAAATAGTCAAGAGTATGTTATTTGAAATTTGGGTTACCATGGTTAAATGTCTCTCTCTATCTACCTCGCTCAATGTACACCAGTCGAGGGGATGGCTGGAAGCTTGGCAAGTGGAGGGAATTGGGCCTAAGAGTGGCCCTCAATGCCGCAACTCCGACGCACTGGAACTGGTCCTGGTTCTCGTCCCACAGCTCAATGAAACCACCTTCTGATTCAATGCGCTGAGAGGGCTGGCCTGCCGTCAGTCGCTGAAGACGGCATTGTCTGGCCTCACGCAGTTGGGGCGATCGTTGGCCGATCGCAGCAGACAAGAGCAGGGAGAGACATATAGCTGAAAGCAGGTAAGTAGCCATGGTTTCAATTTCCTAAGTAGTTAGTGTGTGAGAGAGAGAGAGAGAAAGAGGGGGGAGGTACTGTGAAATGGGTTGAGGTTTAGAGCCCATTATATGGTGTGAAGAGTTTTGGAAAGTAGTGAAGAAGTTGTGGGCTGTGTGGCAATGGAGTCTGTTTTCTTCTGCATGAAGAGGAGTGTCCAGATGTTGATTGAGCTTGGCCACCTCGCAATGGTGGTTTACATGTGTTGTTTATAGCGTCTTCTACGTGGTGATGAAGGAAGGGTTCTTTGCTACGTACCACCTCTGCAATTACCCACCACATGGTCAAGGTCTCTCTGAGCTTTAAAGAGGTGATAGTAAATTGTATATAACCAGCTTTGTGTTAATCCTAAACTCAAATTCGCCACTTATGTGTCGATTCCTTGTTGAGTTTACTCTTTACCCTTTAGTTTCTAGAATTGAGAAGCATAGGTTCTACTTCTAGACACACATTTGGGCTTGGAAATGGCCCTCTCTTTCTGGGTAGATTGGGTGCTGTAAACCTGGGCCTGGGCTCTGGATGGAATACCTGTTTATACTCTTAATCCATCTATTAGGACATAGAGGCTTATCTCATCTTTTAGCTGCCAAGAACTGGAATGCATCGACTCTCTCATCTCATTTCTCTCGTTTTCTTATGTTTTCTCTTGATAGTCCTTTGGAGGCCGATCTTTTTTTTTATAGATTTATTTGGATTTAAGTACATTCAAAAATTTATTTAGGGATAAGTCTTGATCTTTATTGTCCAAAATACCCTCAATAGTTACATTTAATCGAAACTTGTTTGAAAAAACTAACAACTCATAAATTAAGAATTGTATTAATATTAATAACTCATAACTTGAAAATTGTGTTAACATTAAAATTATATTTCTATCACATATTTCTATCTCACACACACACACACACATATAAAATTGTATCCATAAGTTTTAATGTTACAAGTTAAAATATCTAAAATATTTTTATCCGATAAAGATACAAAAAGAGTAGGAAAGCAATTAAAATAGACAGGACCAGTACTTAAACTGGACTGCATAACTCTCATTAAAGATTGATCAAAATCTAAACATCTAGCATCTCGTAATGCTAACATAAAAGAGACATTTAATCTATGAAGAGTTAATGATTTTAGAGCAACTTGAACAAATTTGATATGCAAAAATTTATAAGTTTTTTGAGCCTTTAAGATTTCTCTTTCAGTTAATAATTGTAAAATATCTTCATTTTGATCAAAAGGAATAGTCCTTTCAATCGTCTTAATTGTTAAACTCGATTTAAAATCAAAAGTACCAATATTATAAATTTTTTTTGTAGGGTACTGGGGTATATCCCAGTTCTGCAATTTATTTTCAATATCAAAAAATTCTATTTCTTTCATATTTTTAACATAATCATTTTTATGATTAAATTTTAACTTAAATAAGCTTAATGCCATGTTTGGTAGATAATTAATGGGTTTTCTGTTAACTTATATGTTTTACTATTACTTATTCTAGTTGCTACTATAATTCTTCTGCAATACTGCTACAGGGTACAATGAACCTTACTATTATTATTCTCATAGTGATTTCCTTCTACATCCTACTCTTGTTGTCAACGATTTACGGGAAACCAAAGTGACCTCACTCTTTCACTTAGACAACGACCTAACATCCCACATGCGACTTAGGTGCAGACCCATAGGAATAAAAGAAAATCATTATAACAGAATGACCTAACAAGTTCAAAGTAGCAGTAGTATAAGAGAATTAAATCACAATTACATAAGCAACAAGAATTAGTAATAGATCTGCATATAAATCAACAAAATATGATTAAACTACCATACTACTTGGCTTTGATACCAGAAAGAAGGAAAAATCAATGTATGCCCAAGATATCAGCGAAAGCTTTTATTTAATGTAAACTTATGCACAAAATATACTTACAGTAGTAGTGGTAGAAGGTAGAACATGGAGGTTTTTACAAGAGACAAGGGTTCAGAAAGGGTGCAAGAAAGGAGAGAGGAAGGAGTGGATGTGGGAAGGAATGGGTATGAGAGATGGTTAAGATGCGGTGCTCCACAGGCCGGACTTGCATCTCTTTATATAGAACCAGACATGAAATTTGGATTTCAAATTAATCTAAACTATTCACAACTTTAATAATTTAAAATGACATCATTGCATATGTCAATGATGTTGTACACTTTTTACTATACAAGTACAATAATTTTATGGTGACGTCATGACATTCATCATCCCTTCAGAGTCGACTTTATCCGAAACTTCAGCTTTATCTGATCATTTCCTGTAAAACAAATTATACAGTATATTACTGTTGTCATTATGGAGATTTATCTCCATATCATTATTTAGTAAAATCTTCTTTAATAAAGATGTCATCTTATATCCTTGGGAATCCATAAATTCGTCATCAGAGTCAATAGGAGTGGGTGATTTCCTATTATCCTCCTCAACTTTATCTTTTCCTTTGCTTTTATGGCAATTGTTGGAGTGTTAGCTAGATCTATCTTTTCCGTTTTGCCTATTCCGAATGTAGACATCACCTGAATATGCATCTCCTCCATAATTGCTACTTAAACTGTTCAGTGTTTAAATGAGGTTTTTCTTTTTTAATTTGTTCTTTAAGAACTTCAACAGAGTTAAAATTAGTTCCAATATTTATACTGGTAATGGAAACAATGGCTGTAGAAGTTAAAGCTTTATCTTCCTCTTTATCTATGTCTTTAAGACGTTCCTCCATAACTTGACATTTAGATTCAAGCGAATAATTATTTCAAAAATGAACATGATATTCCCTGATTAATATGGGATGTCCATTTTTATTAAAATCACAAGCCAAAGTCCACACCCAAATCCATGAAACAAAGAATTCGAGTGAGAAATTAATAATTGGCTTAGCTGCTATATCATTGTCCTTTAAGGACGAACTTTTGTCTTTATACAAGTCAAATAATTTTTTCATAGGTTCATAAGGATATATCCTTTTAATAATATCGACAAAGAGAGAATTATTCTCCCTATGTGGAGATAATGTTAAAGTTTTAGGAATTATAGAGAGAGATTTATTTTTGGAAGAAATGTCTTTATTGTCAACTTTACCTGACAAAGATGTTTTAATAACTTTAAGTTGTTTTGATGGGTTGGACTTATCAATATCACCTTTATGTGATAATTATTTTATTGTAAGTGGAGGATAATAAATATTTTTATATGCATTAAAATAATTTGCACCCTTATATGAATTAAAATAATATGCACTTTTATATGCATAGAAAGTAGTTTTACATTCATCAGAATAATATGCATTTTTATATGCAAAGGTTTGTGTTCTAACCGTTATACCACCAAGTCTAGTTATTATGAGTTGACAAAATCTTTCTGGTATAATATTTTCAATCCATTGTTTATATTTCCAATCATAATACAAATTATTAATTTCAAGTGTAAGGTGAAATTTTAAAGACTCTCTTTGTGCTCTAGCAATTCTTAGCAAAAAGATAGGGACATGATTAATTAATTGATCTTCCATAGCATTGCAATAGAGACACCAGAGTGATACCTTGCAATAATTATTGTGCTAGGTAGAGGCAAAGCTAAAAATATTTTCACCTGCATAATCACATATACAATCAAGAAGTTCTGGAGATTTAGCAATTTAGACCAAAAAAGATGAATCAATAGGAAGATTCATCTCTGTAACTTCTTGCTGATGATCTGCAGCAAAACTCTCAGAAGAATTAGTAATAAATAGATCAATATTTTTTAACTGANAAACTCTCAGAAGAATTAGTAATAAATAGATCAATATTTTTTAACTAATTTAACACTGATTCCTTTTCAATAGAAAGGGTATTTATATTTAGTCCATTCATATTTAAAATAGATTTATAATAATTATTTTGGATTTTACAATGAGATGAACAAACTTTATCTTGTTCTGATTTATTGTTTTCTAAAGATGACGAATTACTTATTTTATTAATATTATCAGAAGATAATTCTTCTTCACTTTAAATAGTTTCTAAAATTAGTTCTAGCAAATTTTATCATAACATCACCCTGAGGTGATTGGGCAATTTAAGTTATTTCTTCATTAATTTCTAATTTTTTAGGAACTACTGACTCAAATTGTCAAGTTTCTGAAAATTGGATTTCAGATCATTTAATAGTTTTAGAGACTTCAATTTTATTTTTAATTGTGTTGGTTTCAATTAAAGTTGTTTGACCTTTAAGATTAAGAAGTTTAGCTTCAAGACATAGAGTATTCATACCTTTAAAATATACTCTACAAGTAAAAACAATTATATCGGTGACATCTCATACCCACTCATTCCTCTCTCCTTTCTTGCACCATTTTTAAACCCTTCTCTCTTATAAAAATCTCCATCTTATACCTTCCACCACTACTACTGTAAGTATATTTTGTACATAAGTTTTGCATTAAATAAAAAAATTTGCTGATATCTTGTGCATACATCGATCCTTCCTCCTTTCTGGTATCAGAGCCAAGTAGTATGATAGCTTAATCACATTATATTGATTTATATGCAGATATATTACTAATTCTTGTTGCTCTTATAATTGTGATTTAATTCTCTTATACTATTGCTACTTTGAACTTGTTAGGTCATTTTGTTATAATGATTTTCTTTTATTCCTACGGGCATGCACCGAAGTCGCGTGTGGGATGTTTGGTCGTTGTCTGAGTGAAAGAGTGAGGCTGCTTTGGTTCCCCGTAAATCGTTGACAGCAAAAGTAGGATGTAGAAGGAAATCACTATGAGAACAATAATAGCAAGGTTTATTGTACCTTGTAGTAGTATTGTAGAAGAATTAAAAAACGAATTACAGTAACAACTAGAAGAAGTAATAGAAAAATATATAAGTCAACAGAAAACCTGTTGGTTATCTACAAAACATGGCATTAGACTTAAGGGATAAAACCTTTTTAAATATTTCTCCACAATCAACA